CCACAGGATCCAGGTAAAAGGTGGCCACACAGATGGAAGTAAACTATCTGTTGTAATATTTGTACTTACATTAAAGATTGTCATGTGTTCCCTGTATGCGTTCGGGTTCAATGCGTGTCAAGGTTAGTTTGTCTGGCATAGGCCCAGTCACGAGCACTGGACCAACAAGGTCACACAGAGATCTTTGGCAAATAAATGAGGCCAGTCGTCTTTTGGAATTGTACCTAATTTTGGCAGAAAAATAGAAGCTGTCGTCCTTTGGGAGTTAAACCTAGAATTGTAAGATGAATGTAGGATTTAGTTAAGTAGTAGTAGATGTCTTCGTAAATTGTGAACTCAGTGTGCTTTTCCAGATAGTAATATGAGACATAACCTAGTTGGATATTTAGATGACCGAGTTTTCTTCACGTTTTGTTGTGATCACTTTTGTAGGGCTAACATGAGTGAGGCAACGTCTTGATTCTGGTGTTACTATCGAGTTAGTTTGCGCTGGCGTTGCTGAGTTAAATCTCTTAAATATTGCATCGTTATCCAGACGCAGGGTTTCATCAGGGTTGGCGTGTCGCCGTTAGCGCTGTAAAGTGATAGTTTGTTATCGTTTATTGTATTTGTTCTTCCTGAGTGTATTTAAATATAAAGATTAAATGTCATAGGGCATAGTTTGCGTCTTGACAAGTTAGCGACGAAAAGGAAGACAGTTGTGACAGAGACAGTGAATTTGTGCAGGTGCTAGATGTCTGCAGTCGATTCTCTGTGACCTGTCGCCCTAGTACAACAGTTGCGGAAGGCTGAGATGAAGGCTGCTGAGACATCATTCAAGAAGTAACAAGACTTAGTAAACATATTTTTACTTAGGTCTATTCCATATCTGCTGGGACCCAAAATTGTGAACATATGGTCAAACATTACGAGATCTCAGTCAAATATTAGTCCCTCATCTACAGAAAACATTTCGGGTGGGAAGGAAGGGGGGGGGGGGAGGACCATTGAAATTATTAGAAACCCTCCCTTCAGAAAAAAACTCGATGACTATTAAATTGTGAGGGATAGAATTTTGCATCACTTCTTCCTAGATGAGGAATCATACAGAAAAACATTAAAAATCTGATTCCTAAAGCTTAGCATACATTCCTTGATTATATGTCTGAGATAGTATCCACTTTTAACAAGTGGGTAACATCAGCAAAGGTGGGCAAATCATATGATTTGTTGAAATATTTGGTAATAAGAGATACGATGTTATCAATTGTCCAAATCAGTATGATGAACCCTCTCGATAGAGCAGAAACCTTCAACGGTCAAGCAGATGGAAGGTTCGGGTGCCGCGTACTGGAATGCACATATAAACATTTTCAATTTCAACAGAGGTGCAGACGTAATTTATGGAGCTGCAGTGCAACCAAAATACAGAAAGAAACGGTATACTCCGGAGAAGGCACGAGAGCACTCAAGAGAGTACAAAAGTTACAGACCCCAGAGGAATAAGGGTTAAATATTGATGTGTCCACACTGTAAGAAGGAGCACTGTTAACGGCAGTGGTGTAACCAGAACGCAAAATATGAAGACCATTTTCAGTTTCAACAGAGGTGCAGACGTAAGTTATGGAGCTGCAGTGCAACTAAAATACAGAAAGAAACGGTATACTCCGGAGAAGACACGAGAGCACTCAAGAGAGTACAAAAGTTACAGACCCTAGAGGGATAAGGGTTAAATATTGATGTGTCCACACTGTAAGAAGAAGCACTGTTAACGGCAGTGGTGTAACCAGAACGCAACATATGAAGACCATGTGCAGAACAAAGAAAGGAATGGCAAGAGAAACATGTAGCTAACTACACTCATGTGTGTCGACAATGCGACACCACCAATCACTTAAAGCGAGACTGTAAGATAGGAAGGCGATACCATCAGAGTGGTGCTGCAGAAACATCCGACAGTGGGAGTGAGTCTAAAAGTATGGTGTCTGATGGGTGTTCGCCAGATACACCTTCAGCAAATACTGCTGAGATAATAAATTTAAATGAGACTAGTTGCCAGATTCGTAGATCGTTAAATGAGGACGGTAAACTGATCTGAGGACATATTGTAGTAACCTCAGCGGATGCAAATGCTGCAACCAGATTTGATGGTTATTTGAAATTCAAGAAAGGGTAATTAATGGAAATGTAGTTACAATCCTTTCTGGATTCTGGTGCGACAGTGTTGGGTATCAGAAAACGTATTGTGAATGCGTTAGATTTGACAGTTGAATATATTGTGTATCAAAACTTTTCACAAAAGAAGGAAAAGTATGAGTTGGCACAGGCCGATCTTAAATCAGCTTAATGCACAGGGAGAACTAAATTTGCAGTACTAGCAGACCCTATTACTGATGTTATCTTTGGCAACTGTAACAATGTAAAGGATGTATCTAAAAGTGAGATCATCGAATGGCAGTGACAATATAGCTTGCAATGTTGTAACTAGACAGCAGGCTGTAAGAGGGTGAGAGGCAGAGATAGAGAGAGAGAGAGAGAGGCAGAGAGAGAGAGAAAGAGAGAGAGAGAGAGAGAGAGTGCGTGAAATGAGTGAAAGAGAATGTCTGAAAAAAGTTTTAACTTTTATACCTTCCACTTCAACATACTACAGATAAGAGTTCATCAAAAAACAGAAGTGATAACTCATTGTGAAAATGATTTTTAACTTGCCGATCAACAAGAGAAACTGTCCAATTTATTTTTTCAATGATTTCTATTTTTTAAAGGAAATTTGAAATAAGTTAATAAATGATTTAGAAAGGATAATGTTAAAAATTATATTATGATTTCATATGGGCATTTACAAAGAAAAATAGAGGTTTTGTAACAAAGTAATGCATTTAGGGAGACTAAATTGGAGGGGTGACATTATCCTCAGAGGATAAGACTGTTTCCAACAGGCCACTAATGTTTTTGCTGTTTATTTTACACTGTGGATCATCGGGTATGATAAGTGTCTTGGCAGGGATTGCGGATTCGCAGACACAATATACAACTATATATCGTGAAGTCAGGTGACTTTTATCAGAACCATGAACGACTCTTGAAGAGAAAGTCCATGGCGGCCATTGCTATTGAGCACCGTGCCATTGGTACCGCCTGGGAGTGTATACTCTGGCGTTTTACTTGTCCTAGGGTGGAATAAGAGTGAATGTGTCCCGGACAGGATCATTAAAATACACCAACACTTATAATAATTTGGAGCATTACCTGTATGATTTGAAGGTGTACAAAGTGATGACGTATTTGTGTCAAAGGCTGATATCTTTTTTACCAACTGGGGATGCGTTGCCCTATTAAGTGTACATGTTCTGTGAATATGTTCCATATGCTTTGTCCTCAAGTGATTGACCCAGGGTACAAGACATTTTCGGCTGACTTATTCCTGACAATATATATCTTTTAGAATACTGTTTATTTTGACAGCCCGTACATGTTTTGCTGATACCTGACGACAAACTACAAAACAATACATACACGTCTGTTGACATGAAGTATCAGGTTAGGAGGGGAGTCGATGTCAGAACCCATTTGGTAAAGTCATGTTGCGGTGTAGACCATAAAGACACTGTACCGTGTGTAGGGGTAGAACACAGAGTTGAAGGACAGGTCAGCACGGCAAATTGCAGGACTGTCCAGGTATGTGCTGTAGTACCTTAGGGGAAACTACCGCTCAGCGAGATCCAGTGGTGACCACTCTGTTTCTGGCGGTTTCATATTTGCTGCATGACCTAAGCTGAGCGAAGGAACCGTAACAAACGTCACGAGTTGGGAGGCAACGGGGCCTTTGATTTCCAGGCCTTATACAGGAGACAGTGACGTGCTTAGTTGGACAGGTGCTAGAATAATACTTCAGTGACTGCACAGATTGTGTTAAGTGTTGCGTTATGGTAGTATAGCTTCTCTGTGTTGTGTAGTGTCATAACAGCCACAGGTGTTGTGTTGTTACTTAATGCGTAAGTAGTGTTGGTGTATTTTAATCAGAAGAAACGTGTGTTGATATGGTTTGTGTGATGATAACTAGCCCCAGCACACTGGCCCTGCATTCGACAGAAGCGCTGCGATCCTGGTGAGGCCCAGTGGTCGGGGGAAAGAGCGTATTTTGCATAGATGTTGTTTGCGGACATATGATTTGCCTGAGAGAATGCACTGGCGTGTGTGGTGAATGTAAAGCTGGCACAACCAGGGTTCAGGCTAACATGTGGCCACACCACGGGTAGTGAATGTAAAGCTGGCACAACCAGGGTTCAGGCTAACATGTGGCCACACCACGGGAAGTGAATGTAAAGCTCGCACAACCAGGGTTCAGGCTAACATGTGGCCACACCACGGGTAGTGAATGTAAAGCTGGCACAACCAGGGTTCAGGCTAACATGTGGCCACACCACGGGTAGTGAATGTAAAGCTCGCACAACCAGGGTTCAGGCTAACATGTGGCCACACCACGGGTAGTGAATGTAAAGCTGGCACAACCAGGGTTCAGGCTAACATGTGGCCACACCACGGGTAGTGAATGTAAAGCTCGCACAACCAGGGTTCAGGCTAACATGTGGCCACACCACGGGAAGTGAATGTAAAGCTCGCACAACCAGGGTTCAGGCTAACAGGTGGCCACACCACGGGAAGTCAACTGTCCGAGTATTAATTTGTGACTGATATTAGAGATTGTCATGTGTGCTCTGTGGGTGTCCGATTTCAGTGTGTACTAAGTTAGATTGTCTGTCAGACACCGACACAGCAAGTCATTGACCATCATGGTCAATCAGAGGTCTGTGACAAAGAAGAAGAAAAAGAAGAAGAAGAAGAAGAGGAAGCGGAGGGGGAGATGAAAGAAGTGACAAACACTAATAACAATAATAATAAAAATAAAAAAAATAAAAATTATAATAATAATAGGAGCAGAAGGTGCCTAAGGAAAAATAATAGCCAGTTACTGAAGAAAGTTAACACTTTAAGCTAATTAGTTATTGATTACAACTCACAGGAATCATACTAGAAAAGCTGTTCTGGTCAGGTCTTCTAATTTGTAAATAAATGTTCGCAAACCATTCCGGATCGGAATTCTGTGGTATAAGGTCGCGACCAGTACCGGAACATGTAAACCTGTCCTTGCCGGCTCGTGCTGCATTGTCACAAGATGTTACAACTTTGGGGTTTGTCATTGTTAAAGTCCGACAAAACGTCCCTTATAGAGGCAACCAAGAAAAAAAAAGGGTTAGTCAGTAGTTTTGTTTGTTAAAATGTATGTTATCTTCCCATATCAAACTAATGCATTATGTGCAGATATTATTAGCAGATATGATATTCTGTTTCACACTACTAAGTATATATATATATATATATATATATATATATATACTGTTAAAAACACTTACAGCTATCCGTTGGTAATTTTCTTTTAGTTTGTAAATAAAATATTCAAGTATGTGAAAAGCATACTCAAATGTTGTTTACCGTTTCCAGTGGATATGTAGGCGGGAATTGTGTGGTTTGTGTGTGTGTGTGTGTGTGTGCGTGTGTGTGTTGTTCTCGTAGTCATTACAACGCAGTGATCAGTCGTGTTTGAGAAAATATATGTGAGCATATGATGCGCGCACGGGAAACTAACACTATTCGGGGTCAACACTGTTTACCGTCTACGCAGCTAAAACCCTATAAAAGGATAACGCTACACCAAAACATTTAGTTAATTTTCAAGCTGTCACTAATGGCAACTCTATCAATAAATTTAAAAAAAAAAGTATTTGCTATAAGTAGACTGAAGGCAGCAGAAAGTTAGTCAGGTTCCTGGGTAATCTAAATATGCACCAGAGTACCACGAGTCGACGCTGGCACCAGTTACAAGATACTCATTCAGATAAAGACAGACATCGCAGTAGACGAACTAAAGTGACAACAGCAACAGAAAATCGCTTTATTCGGCTTCGTTACCTCCGAGACAGGTTTACAACAGCATCCTCAACTGCGACGCTCAATCTCATATGTAAGCAACTAATTGAGAGTTTCTGGATGAAAGCTGCAATCGATGCCAGCAATACAGTGTCAAAGGCATTCCAACCAAATATAAACCCGCTAGGAGGATAACTTGTCAGAGATATTGCTAGACTAACAAGCTCGGACGCTCTCTGGAAACTAACGATATTGAGGACTTAGCTAGGACACTGGAGGTGAGCATTGCGTTCGTCCTCTAGATACACTCGTCCTCTAGATACACTCGTCCTCTAGATACACAAGTCCTCTAGATACACTCGTCCTCTTGATACACTCATGGAGACTAGAACTTCCACTGACAGACATGAGTTTGATCAAAAGTGCTTCTAAAAGTACTAAACATTTCTAAGCCAAAACCATAGCATATGGATTCCTAGATAAAATCCGATTGGATAACCTGATAGTATATACTGATGGATCTAAAATCGAGGCCCAGCACTAGGAGCAGGACAAATATTGCTCCATGCGAGATGAAAACATAATATTTAAAAAAAAAACAGAACTGACGGTAGTTTGCACAGCTAAACTGGTCGGCATCATAAAGGCACTATAGATTGTAATAAATAATAAATTAACTAAACCTACCATACTGATAGACTCATTATCTTCACTGCAATCATTAGGGACTCATAATAAAGGCAGCAGACCAGACATAAAAAAGAAGATTCAAACTTGACAACTAGCTTATAAGTAAAGGATGCCATGTTACCATTGCATTTGTGCCAGCACACAGAACGAACGAACGAACGAACGAACGAACGAACTTTATTTTCAAAGGGTTACAAATTGGGCACGCAGGGCCGTCTGACATTCGGCCCTTCTAAGCACTCGCTTTTCAGAGTACCAATGCCTGTTATCTAAAATGCATGTAATAGATATAGAATAAAAATATACATTATAGAATATAATACATACATCATGTGTACACAATCTTACACACACACACACACACACACACACCACACATATACAGACATACCTAACACATACTTACATACATATATACATCTACTTATATACACAAACAGAAAAGACACACACATATATGCACACACACATTCCATACATACACACCTACACATGCATGCATGTATGCATACACACACATACAATCACATGTACAGACACCCACAACCACACATTTACACTCACATGAAAACATACATACACACATCAATACATACACCTATATCTTTACACACATACATGCATACATACCTAAATACACACACATACACCCATATACCTATACATCTACAAATGCATACACACATCCACAAACATGCATACATACACACACCCACATACATGCCGACACACATTACATAATACCTATACATGCATGCATACACACATACACAATCACCCATACAGATACTCACATACATACATACACTCATGCATACATACATACTTGCTTACATTATGTACACACATATACTCATATACAGTCACACATACTTACAACATATATACATAATTTCACACACATAAAAACTTAAATATACATTCATATATCCACATGCATGCATACACACACACCTACAATTACACACAAACCCAGATAATACATACACATATACACACATATAGATACTTTTATACATGCATACATACATAATACATACCCACATACTTACATACACGCATACTTGCATACATTCATAAATACACACACATCCATATACATACACAGCTACATATACCGACAAACATCCATATACATGTATGAATACACATACACCCATAGACTTACACAGATACATTTACATAGAAACATTCTCATACTTATACAGACATACATAATACATGCACCTACATACATATATGCACACATACATACATAAACATGTATACATACATACATGGACTACATGTACATGCATACACACATCCATACATACACTCAAATACTTAAACATACATACTTTCATACAAACACACACTCACATACTTACACACATACATACTTTCATACTTATCTAAATACTCACACATGCATGCATACATACACACATACATGCATACATACACCTACATCTTTACACACATACATACATACATACATACCTAAATAGTCACACATGCATGCATACACACACATACAATCACCCATACAGATACCCACATACATACATCACATGCATCCCATATACAATAAAAAAAAAGGAAAAAATATATATAGACACATACTTACAAACCTAAATATACCTTTACATATCCACATACACATATACCCGCAATCACACACATGCCCAGATAACACATACATACATAGTTAATTTTACAAATACACATCCATAATACATACCCACATACTCACACATATACCTACATTTATAAAAAGACACACACACCACATACGGATACGTTTACATATACCTACATACATCCACATACATGCATAAATACACACACACATACTTACACGGCTACATTTACATACATTCATTCTCATACGTATACAGACAAACCTGATACATACATACATACATATACATACATACATATACGCACACATACATACATCAGCATGTATACATACACACATAGGCTACATCTACATGTATACACAAAACAAACATACATCCATACATACATGAACACACATGCATACATGTATACATACACAAACATAAAATGCACACACCTACATACACAGACATATATGCACACACACATACACACATATATACACACACATACACCCACATACTTACACAGCTACATATGCATACATACATTCGCCAATCGTGCATACATACACAAATACATGCATGCATACATACACACATACATACATACTTGTAAAAATAATACACACACACACACCTACAATCACAAATACACTGATATACAGTCGCACATACATACGCCCACATACTTACAACATACGGACATACAAACACACACCTACTTACAAACCTAAAATACATACATATATCCACATACATACACACACTAACAATCACACACACACCTATATAATACATACAAGTAGGATAATAATGCATGTAAATTATTAGCTACATCTATGGTGGCATATAATCACTAGTAAGATACGAATCAAGACATAAATATATTACTCACCCCCCACAGATGTCAACATAATTACAATCATAATCTCCATGTTAACTGCAAATCGTTCCTTATCTCTTATCTGCTTAGGCCTGTGTGGCTTAGGAGTTGCAATCGCGCTTCGTGATGCTGCCTGGGTGCTGGATTCGATCCTAGCTGAAATTCGGATGCAAAGCGCCTTGCGTTAGTATCGACAGTAGTTTCATGAGCCAGATATAAAAAAAAGCAATGGCAAACTACTGAACTGAAATGTGACAGAAAACCACAACAGCCGAAAAATGATCGAAATGATTTAGCAACGTCCCGTGAAGAATAAGCAAATAACTGTTATCTGTTATCGTTTCTGAATATTTCTTAACACTTACACAGGTAAAAATTGTTTTGTTACTAGTCCTATCCCAAGACTCGATAACTAGAGGATTTCCTAAATTGTTTCTTACCAACTATTTATACAGAGTCGTCGGCATGTGTGGTATGTGTTTTCTACTCATTACTGCTTTCAGAATAGTCATGTATGCTAAAACGTGTTTACTGTGCCTTCTCACGTTGGATTTTCTAATTGCGTTTGGATTGCATCAGACAGTCTACAACAAATCATTCTCATGGATTGACAGGTGTCCATCCATGGCCTTTTAGATCTCTTGTACAAAAAGGCTCTCGTTCATTGATATGGCACGTCAACGATTGCATAAGATGCTACTTACATAACTAATTTCCCAATAATTCTCTGCCAATAAACAATTGTTGGGTCTAGAAAAGAATGTTCAGATTGCTAAGACCTGTTGACTTCGGTCCCTTCAACTAATACGCAATATCCTATCTCCTGACCAACAAGTGATGGCGTCTTCCTTTTACACATCGAACGTAAAAGCAAACGTCAAATACTTAACTACATCTGGGTGGAAAACTATGAGTAGTGTGCCCTAATTGAATATGCTGAGACAACATCTTCAATTATTCTCCTATTATTTGTTCCGCTATTGACATAAACATGACAGGCGTAGACTTATGGAGACTTGAAAGCGTTAACAAGCTACGAAATGGTTCACATGTTGATTTTTGAAACTAGGACACCCAGAAGAAGCAATCATCATCCAGTGCCTTGTCAACTGGTGTAGGCGATCATGCCCCTCTACAATCTGCGATCCGCAGCTGTGTGTATCAGTTTATGTTTTGACACCCTTAATACCATGACAAAAGACTGTCAAGAGTCTGCTCAAACTATCTTCCTCTGTCTCTCTTTCCACATGTTCCAGTTTTTGTCTTCTCATAACATGACCTAAAAGATGATGGCTGTCTCTTTCTAATGTTTGTGATAAGTTGTCTTCGAGCACTAGGCTCTTCCAAAATATCTGAGGTGCTCTTGTTAGCTGTCCAGAAATTCTAAGGATTTTTCAGTAAAACCTTATCTCTGATGCCTCCAGATATTGTTCGGCTTTTTTATTAATTGTAAAGAAAAAATATGTGTACAAATGACACTAGAGGATAATTATCATAGAAAATGATGATATTATATCATATATTAAATTGAATTCTATTATATCACATTGTGAGCATGCGAATGTGTATGTGAGTGTTCACGTGTGTGTGAGTGTGTGTGTGTGTGTGTGTGTGTGTGTGTGTGTGTGTGATGGCACAATGACCTATTATCGTGTTCCCCGAAGACAGAACCTCAAAAAAAAAAAAAAAAGCCCTAGCATGATTGTTTTTAATATAAGACCTACATTAAAAATAAGGCCTACTTGAGGTGGTCAGCGAGAATCAAAGGGGGACCATTGTTAGATGCGTAGACACATCAGGAGCACAGGAGAAGACCCAACGCATCCTACCAAGCACCTAGGGTGGATGACTTGCTCCAGTCACAGACAAGAGATCTTTTAGATGCCAACACGACTATTAGTTTCTTACAGGAGAACAAGGCAAGACCCATTAACAATAAGAAAACCACTATAACTAAGCACACGCAACAGCTATCATGTCCTATTGTAACCTTTAGCATTGTCTATGAGAACTGTAACCTAATACACCACACGAAGTATGCTCTTATAGTGAGATCAGTCTCTTTATTTTTGGCGAACACAAAACGACGACAATGAAAAATGATCGATGGCAAGTCTTCTACTGCCTTCTGAATATTCACATCGTCAGTCCCTATAGAAACTGACAAAACAGCACAGTGAATTATGTACACGGTACCAGCTACAGGCAACTAACACCTGATCGTGCAGATACACGTATGTGATATGCAGGGACAATGATTTCAAGGTTCGTCCTCTAAACGACCACGCCACCCTGGGAAGCAAGATAGATGCACCACTTGCTGAAAGACGCCAGACATCCCGTTTGCTACCCAAGCCACTCATTAAAACCTCATTGACTAACAGTCCTGTTTGTCAGCCTCTGATACTGTCCCGTCACATTTCCACACTGGTCAACATATACAATGTCCGCCAGCAACTCCACCCGTGAACAACATGCAACCTCTGTTTCACATCCTTTAAGTGGCTCATATGTTTACATTCCCAAGCTGTAGCACAAAGCAAATCCTGGCTTCATTAACTCTCTATAATCCCCAGTGATTTCGCACACAAAAACCATGTTGCCAAATGTCCACTCTAAGGTGCACACTTGATAACTGAGGGATTTGGTTCAGAATATAAGGTACGTTCCCCCCCCCCCCTCCTTTTTTTTTCTTTAAAGGAAATCTATGTTGCTGGTCAGTAAAGACTAGGCCAATAGTTCTACAAGAAATGGGGTTGCAAGAAATTCAATCCAGATAAGAGATTTTGAGAGTTATAAAACTGTCCCAAAAGATGTCTTGACTATGGATGAAAAATGTAGAAGTGTGTACTTAATAACTAATTTAGGTTATTTGGATATGAGATATCGCCCCCAAAATTAGCCCCATAACATTATGAAATCAAATTAATTAGAACCCTTTAATATTCTCGTAAAAACACAGAAAATATCGGGGGTGGGTGGTGGATATGAAGTGGGGAGTGCCGTGATGTAGCTGCTAGGTGATGAAAAAGGGGGGGGGGTGTCGTCATGTAGCTGCTGGGAGGTGGGAGGGGGTGGTGACGTTAAGTAGCTGCTGGGCGGTGGGGGTGCGATGGTGTAGCTGCTGGGCGGTGGGAGGTGGGGGTGCCGTTTTTTAACTGCTGGGCGGTGTGTTTGGGTGCCGTGATGTAGCTGCTGGGCGGGGGGGGGGGGGGTGGCCTGGTGTTGCTGCTGGGCGGTGGGTTTGGGTGCCGTGATGTAGCTGCTGGGCGGGGGGTGGCCTGGTGAAGCTGCTGGGCGGTGGGTTTTGGGTGGCGTGATGTAGCTGCTGGGCGGGGGGTGGCCTGGTGTACCTGCTGGGCGATGGGAGATGGGATGTGCCGTGATTTAGCTGCTGGGAGGTGATGGGGTGGGGTGCCGCAATGTAGCTTCTGAGCGGTCGGGGTGCCATGGTGTAGCTGCTGGACGGTGGGAAGTGGGGGAGGGGTGCCGTGATGTAGCTGCTGAGCGGTGTGGGGGGGGGGGATGCCGTGATGTAACTGCTGGGCGGTGGGGCGGGGGGGGGTGCCGTAATGTAGCTGCTGGGCGGTGGGGGGGGGGGGGAATGTGATGTAACTGCTGAGCGGTGGGAGGTGGTGGGGGGGGGGGGGGGGGGGGGTGCCGTGATGTAGATGCTGGGCGGTGGGGATGGTGGGTGGTAGAGGTGTCGTGATTTAGCTGCTGGGCGGTGGAAAGGGGGGGGGGCGTGCCGTGATATAGCTGCTGGGTGGTGGGTGGTTGGGGAGTGTGCCGTGATATAACTGCTGGGTGGTGGGGGGTTGGGGAGTGTGCCGTGATAAAGCTGCTGGGTGGTTGGGGGGTGTGCCGTGATATAACTGCTGGGTGGTGGGTGGTTGGGGAGTGTGCCGTGATATAACTGCTGGGTGGTGGGGGGTTGGGGAGTGTGCCGTGATATAGCTGCTGGGTGGTGGGTGGTTGGGGGGCGTGCCGTGATATAGCTGCTGGGTGGTGGGTGGTTGGGGAGTGTGCCGTGATATAACTGCTGGGTGGTGGGGGGTTGGGGAGTGTGCCGTGATATAACTGCTGGGTGGTGGGTGGTTGGGGAGTGTGCCGTGATATAGCTGCTGGGTGGTGGGTGGTTGGGGAGTGTGCCGTGATATAGCTGCTGGGTGGTGGGTGGTTGGGGAGTGTGCCGTGATATAGCTGCTGGGTGGTGGGTGGTTGGGGAGTGTGCCGTGATATAGCTGCTGGGTGGTGGGGGGTTGGGGAGTGTGCCGTGATATAGCTGCTGAGTGGTGGGGAGTTGGGGAGTGTGCCGTGATGCGCTGCTGGGCGCTTGTCTACGGATCTGATGGTAGTGAGTTCAAATCTCAAAGGGGCTGGACTTCTTGAAAAAAAAACTTGACTCAAAGGTGGCACCAGCCTGAACTGGGTAGAAGGTAGTGTCCTAGGACGTAAAGGTGGTCGTCGTAATGTTGTCCTCATCAACCACCAAGTGCCAATTGGTCTATAAAATATAGGTCTTGCACTATGTGCCTAATATGCCCGAAGACGGGTAAAGGGTCCGTGACTTTACACTACATAAGGACACGTCAAAAAGACCAGCAGGACTTTCATTAAATAACAGCAGAGTAGTTTAACCATCC